AAAGAGAGGTTTTCATTTTGTCCGGTTTGATTCCACTTTTAAGCAGTCATGAATAAGGATAAATAAAATTTAACTAACCAAAGGTTCTTAATTATCCTATAAAATTATTAAGAAATGTAATTCTATAAGATATCAGTAACATCTTTTGCTCCTGTAGCACATTTTTCATTATTTTAGTAATTAAGAATTTATTTATTTTACATCGATTATATTTTATCAGTTGTTTGTTTGCATTGATATTATGGCCATCATGAAAAGCATATAGGACAATGAATACAATTTTTCAGGTAATTTATAATATCCATAACAAATGATTGCACTTACATGTTTATTCAAGTATTAGAGGTGCCAATTATAATGAGCTAAGCGAAAGTCCGTTTGATACATTTTTAAGCCTAAAACGAATACTATACATAAAAGTTTTATTTGAATAATATATGACTGCGGTAAAATTTGATTATGTATTTTTTTTGATTATATAAACATGCTAGCTATACACAACGTGAGGAATACAGTTATCAACTTGTATGATAAAATCTTCGATTTAATCCATTTAATTATTGTTATTATTATTATTACTATTATTTTAATTGTTGTATTATTATACTATGGTAAACAATTTAATGGTAAATGCTAATTAAATACGATACATGACAATTTGACGGTCTTTGTATCTATAGCTTTATTGACGAAAAAATAAAATAAAAATATTTTCAGATATTCATCGTTATCATGTTGATGGTTTATTTATTTTAGTTGATGATTATGTTAGTTTCGTTTGAAATAGTTCGAAGACAAAAAACAGTAGTCATCATGGTTATAGCAGTTGCAACCGTTGCTAGTAAGAAAAACAGTTAATATAAAAATAAACATGTGCTATTTGTACTTGATTTTAAACTATGCTTATAATGAGAATATTGATTGCTTATACGTTAAAATATAATATCGAATAAGTACCTACATTGATAGCCAATAATCCATCCAAAATCGTTAAAAAAAGATCCACACTACACTGTAGTTATTCAGTGTAAATAGTTTTTATTTGTAAACATTTAAATAACATTTGAATGCATTCACTTCTTTAAGTAAGTGCCCCTTAATGCTGTAATAATTGTTAATAGTTTTTATTTCTAACGTTTTTAAGTTCCATAATATTTTAATGCATATTTTCATAATCTGTACTCATAATATTTTTATAGTTTAAGACAGTATAGTAGGTATTATTTTCCTTATAACAGTTAAAGATACGTGCGTTGTAAAAAAAAAAAAAAAACTATAGAATCAAATAGTTATATAAATATTTAGTAATATTTTATATTTCTACATGCTTCTTTATCAATACAAGTATTGTGGTGAAAATTCTTTAGTGTAATAAATGCCAGTAAAATAAGAAGAAGAAAAAAAGAATGATCAATATAATTAATGGATGAATACATTTATCAGATCTAAACAGTCACGTTTTAAAATACAAACAGTGCAGCACAAAACGATATATTTGTTACTATTAATATACTATTAATCAATATATCGGATTCAACATGAATATGGTACGATTCAACACTAGTATACTAGTATAGTTTATAAAATTATATTAATTAAACACTATACATTTGTTATTGAATATATTTTATTTTCATGTACCCGTAAACGTAGTATGAAATACGACTATGGTCTCCTATGGGACTTTTAGCTCTTAACTTCTATATTCGTAGTTACAGATTACTACATCAGCGTTTCAGTAAACATAGTTGAATTCTCTATGTACCATAAACTTACTTATTACCCAGTAAACAGGGAATACTGGTTATTCTCAAACATAACTAATGAATAAACAAAACACCAAGTGCACTGGGTAGTGTGTTTTTCTAATTAAGTTCGACTTGAACTATAAGTGCTTGTATCGTATATTTCAAAACGCCCACATACGATTCTCAACTGTTATGTTGTTTTTTTTTTTTTGTTTTACAATAGAAAAAGTTTGTACAATGAAACCGTTTTACACGAAGTAAGACGACCTAAAGTATTCCTTATTACCGGATTTCAGTGTTCCCCAGCCTATATGTTAAGCCGGCTCATATTATAATATAATAAAATAGCTTTAATGCAATAACATTCCTAATTTTTTTATTATAAGAAAATTTATCATTAACTTTAACGCAATGCTGCAAAATTGAATTCTAATACATACAATTATATTTAGTCTAAATATATCTCTAGTTATATATGAACCGTGATCTATCAAAAAATATTTTGCCACTCAATGTTGGCTCACCATCGGTAGGATGGAAAACGATGAAGTTTTGGATAATATAATTTTTTCAATGGTTCCTCCAGTGGCAATGTAAACGGATTATTCTTTTAATATTTTTGACCCTTGTGATATGATGATAATCTTAAAATTAAAAAACAAAGTGCCTAGGTGATGCAAATATGGTTTTGGGGATGACTAGATTTATCAATAAAGTATAAATGTAACTGATAAAATATTTTAGTCGAATTACGTCTTATTATTCCATGCATACATTATGTTTAATACTGATAAAGTGATAACTATATATATCCCGAATCAGTACGTCAGAACACAATTACACTTTTCAGAACATTCCCTCGTTTATCGTTTTATCGTGGTATACTTTGGCAAAACATTTAAAGTATATTATAGGCCGATATACAGAACAACTGAAGTGTTGTTATACTTACAAACGTAATTGTTATAATATATTCTGATCAATTAATAAATTAATAATAAGAATTACATATTTCAGTTTTTAGATTTGAAACTACATTAAGTGATCGATACGTTGGTACGTTGAACCAAGAGTCAAAATATACCATAATTATTAAATTATATCATCAAATAAAATATTACTATAATTAAATAAATCACATACATTCTGATTCGCAATTACTTCACGATAAATGGCAATTGTATTTGTCGAAATCTTACTTAGATCTGCAGTGTCTTGGCGATTTACGGACATTTGAACCGGCGGGAATTTACTTAGGGTATTGATCACATGTTGGTCGGATATTTAATATTTGTACATATTGATTTTATAAATATTTTATAATTATTTTTCGAAGTGGTCAATTTATTTTTATACTAATATCGCTGAAGAAAAAGAAATTCATGTACTACTCAATAGAGGATACTATATGAGCTATTTGGTGTGATGCGATACTACTATGGATTATGAAGTAAGAGATAACAAACAAATATGACTTCTGTAAATTTTTTTTAACTTTTATTTCGCTACTAGATTATAATTGTAAAATTTTCTGGACTTTGTGTAAAAATCAGAAATAAAATTATGTGAAAATAATAAATGTTTAATTTACGATTTTTTATAAAGTCTTCATTATTTATACGAAATTAAATTTAAATCTTAATATTTTAGTGTTCGTTCACAAAGTATAAATTTAACAGTAAATATAAAATATTTACACACAATTTCGTGATAAATACTTTAAGAACAGAGATAACTATTTTCATTAAGTAATTATTCAAAATGCATTTATAATGCACCATGAATATCAAAGAATGAATACAAATATTCTACACATAACGTATTGACACACAAAAATAAAATATTAAACTGTTTAAATCATAAATTATTTTATTGTAACAGTTCCGACTTTCAATAATGGTATGAATATTGTCTCTATATATTAACCATTCCATTGGTCTTACGTTCTATCTAAATTGATTAGTCTTGCCTAAAACTATTTCTCAAGTGATAATGGGTAGTTAAAATTATTTTAGTGTTTTTATAGGATAATTTCTATTAACTAGTGTGCGTTTTATTTAAACTATCATATTATAATTTGACACATTTCGACAACATTTTTCTCTGAGGTTATATATTTTCTTGTTGGTTTTCGGTTACCATTACTGACTGTCAGACCTACACACGTATAAAATATATTTATAATTAAATTTTGAACAATCAGTCAATTGATTTCTGATATTATTAATTTATTGTATACCAGATGAAAATATCGCAGACAATTGTTTTGATGTGTTATCAACAGGTCAACCTATCAAATAACAAATGTTAATGTCATTAATTTAAATTGAATATTTCATAATAGCTTATATAATATGACACTGAACTTATTTCTTCGGTAAACCTTGGCAACTACAGTAAGAGTTAAATGAACCACAACTTAAGCTATTGGTAAATCGATTGCTAACATTTTGTTATGTATATCTGCATTATATTTAATATATATCACACTAATACATGACATTGCCTTGTTCAAAATAGCAATGCATTCAACTTTGAAAACTCTACTATAGTTTGTTCTACGTAAAATGTTTACTATATGCGCAAGTTTCGCATGAAAATTAAACATCGATCAAACAGAATGAAATGTAAAATCTATCATGTGCGTGCGATGAAAAATTATAATTAAAATAATTAAATATCAAGTAGGTTAACTGTAGGATTGAATTTAGGAAGAAAAAAAAACTATAATGAATAACTTAATGATTATATTTTTTTAGAAAAAAGTGTTGGGATGTCTGTTGTTTTGATAGTGAATTATTTTATTTCAGCTCCGTTGTATATGTAAATTTAATTTAGGGTTTTTGATTACGGATAATCTTTTTTTAATTTCAATTATTTTAATGTAATTTATTGCTATTTTCCATCGTATTCCGGATTCGGTTGCAATTATTTCGTGTTCGTAATCTATATAATCAACAAAGAAAAACAGAATTTTTTAAAAAACTCTTCACAATTACATTTCCCATATAACAACATATTTACATAATATTTATTATCTATAGATATAATACCTGATCGTAGGGCTAACAACCCTACATCGTAAAAGAAACCATGTTTCGATACCACCAATAAAAAGCCTCGGAGATAGATTGATAACCCTGGAAAACTAAACGGAAATGTAGAGATATAAGGATCGCGACTTGGAACATACTAAGTTTATATCGTACCGGTGCATGTCAAAATCTCACCGAAGTGTTAAAGAAGTACAACATGTCAATAGCAGCGTTCCAAGAGATACGATGGACTGGCACTGGACAAATAAGGATCGGGGAGTACATAATATACTACAAGGGAATGAAAGATAAACATCACTTCGGTACAGGCATTGCATTACATAGAGAATATGAATCACGGGTTGCTAAATTTAATCCAATATCTGAGCGGGTTAGTTCAATAAGAATTAAAATGGCGCCCATAGATCTTTTCATAAAAAATATACATGCTCCAATGGAAAACAGCGAAGAAGACGTTAAGGAGTCCATCTATGACGAATTAGCAAGAATATATGACAATATACCTGGGAACACGGTTAAGATAATAATAGGGGATGCTAATTCTAAGATAGGAAAAGAAGCATACTTTGTACCAACAATTGGACTCGAAAGTGCTCATGACTTAAGCAATGATAACGGAGGAAGACTAATATCATTTGCGGTTTCTAGAAATATGATCATTAGTAATGCCACTTTTCCCCATAAAAGAATACATGAACTGACTTGGAATGCACCAGTTGGACTGACGAAAAATCAAATAAACCACCTCCTCATATACAGAAGGTTTAGATCTAGCATAACAGATGTAAGGAGTTACAGAGGAGCCGACTGTGACTCTGATCATCTTCTAGTTATTGCAAAATGTCAGGTAAAATTGCAAAGAATGCGAATACAAGGTACCCAAATGCCCAAGTTTGATATAGAGCAGCTAAAATGCGACGTAGGAAGGAAGAAGTACACTGAAGAAATTAAAAAAGAGTTAAATACAAATATGCCAAATGATGGACGTCAATGGGAGACAATTAGGAATACAATTATTAAAGCAGCAAAAAAGACAGTGGGAATATCAAAAAGTCAAACAAGGAAATAGTTCAATGCAGAGTGTAAAAATGCAATAGAAAGAAGGGGAGAGGCCCGGCAAAGCTACCTTAGGTCAAACACACCAGAAGCAAAAGAACTCTTTAAACAAGAACGCAGATTATGTAAAAAAATCTTACAAAAGGAAAAGAGAAGTTATATGAATTAATTAATACCGAACAAGATTATTCACAGGGTAAGGTGCGAAATTTTTTCGCGAGAATTAGGAAGTATAAAAAATATAACCCTACGTTGAAAGCCGTCAAGAGTGTAGATAGAAGGTTATTGATGGAACCCGATAAAAAAATAGGTATGTGGATGAAATACTTTAAAGAGCTGCTTAATGGGGAAGTACCAGGGAATCCAGTGCCTAGATGGGAAGAGCAAAGACCTGAACCGGAAGTATGTGAAATTAATTTAAATGAAACCAAGATGGCAATAAATAGTCTCAAAAACTGGAAGGCACTTGGCACTGATGGTATTCCGACTGAACTACTGAAATACGGAGGCGATGAACTGCATAAAAATATCCTCGAACTGTGCTTGACTATATGGAAAGAAGAAAAGCTTCCGGAGGATTGGAACAAAGCTATTATTATCCCATTACATAAGAAAGGAGACAAATTAGAGTGTAACAGCAGGAATTGTCCTACTAAATACAGTATATAAGATGTTTGCAAAAATTTTATTGAAACGATTGCAACCTATAGCAGAGGAGTGCATAGGAGATTACCAATGTGGATTTCGGAAAAGTAAATCAACGATTGACTAGTTATCAGAAATCAAACGAATTATAGAAAAGAAATATGAATTTCGTCAAAATATATGGCAAGTATTCGTCGATTTTAAAAAAGCATACGACAATATACACCGGGAAAGCTTGTATAATATAATGGCCGAATTTAGGTTTCCAGCAAAATTAATAGCGTTAACAAAAATATGCATGGAAGGTATGAAGTACCAGGTAAGGATAGACCAAACCGCATTCGAAGAGTTTCAAGTAATTACAGGTCTTAAACAGGGAGATGCACTCTCTCCCTTGCTATTCAATATAGCATTAGAAAAGGCGACAAGAAGTATACAGCATAATGGATATAGATTAGAAGTCGGTGCAGCGAAGTTAGATGTGTTAGGGTTTGTTGACAACCTAAACCTAATTGGCAATAACAAAAAAACCGTAGTGAATAATATAGCCACATTAATTGACAAAGCTAAAACAGTGGGCTTAACAGTAAATCAAGAAAAAACTAAAGTAATGGAGTTATTGGGAAACGACCATGACATATTTGCAGTGGAAGGACTGGTTTTTGAAAAAGTAAACCCGTTTAAATACCTTGGAGCTACCATCAAGAGTAATAATGCCGGGGTAGAAATAGTAAACCGCATACACAGAGCGAAAAAGGCTTATTATAAATTTTTAAAGTTTTTCAAATCCAAATTATTCTCGAGAAGTACGAAATTAAGACTGTATACGGCTGTAGTTAGACCAACGCTGACATATGGATGTGAGGTGTGGACGATAACAGCGCAAATGGAGAAAAGGTTACTCTCCTTCGAGAATAAGGTATTGAGAAGGATTTGTAGTGCGATATATGATAACGAATTAAGGTGCTGTTGTAGAAGGACAAACGCAGAAATCCGAGAAATTACTAAAAGCCCGAAGATAACCAACTACATAAAAGCACAATGACTGCAATGGTTTGGACATGCTATGCGGAGGGATGAATCGAAGGCGGTAAGGGCAGCCATAGAATACCAACCAAGTGGGAAAAGATCAAGGGAGACCAAGGAAGCGATGGTTTGATGGGGTGAGTCAGGATTTAAGAACACTGGACGTAGAAGATTGGAAAGATATAGTACAAGATAGGGAGAGATGGAAACGCTTGGACGGTGGTGGCGAAGACTCTTGGAGAGTCATAAAGCCAAGAAGAAGAAGAAGAAGAATAGATATAATACCTAAATTTTTCTTACAGATTACCTAAATATAGTTATTGAATCATAAATTTTGTAGACTATTGGATTTAATTTTCTTACATTGTATGTAATCCTTGGCCCCAACGCCCCATCTGGGCATCTCATTCTAATCAAGATTACGTCAATAAGTCTCAACCAAAAAAAAAGTACAATGTTTTATAATAGGGAAAAAACTGATATCACTAAAAACATTAAAGTGTAATCATTTTCAATGTCAAAATTACTTATATTAAAAATTACATAGACATCCAACTGAGTATATTGAAAAAAATTTAATCAATATCTTCAGCCTGATAATGAGTTCGAATTCGTTAATTATTCTCAACGGACTATTTGTTTAAGGGGATGTTAAGAGAGGTGATTATTTTATCACTTAAATGTTTATTATATGAATAGTTGTTTGACTCAAACATAACAATAGAAACTTCTACTTTGAAAATAAATAGATACTATCAAGTAATTATGAGTTTATCGACATACCTAGTGGAAAAAGGTTTAGTGTAGCACAACAACTACTTTTAAAATAAAATATTGTTAAATATTATGAGATAAAGGAGATTTAAGATTAATGGTGGTATAAATTAAAATAATCTTAATTTCATCAGAATATCAACCTCAAGATAGCACTAACTTAATGAGAATTTTTTTGTGATTATTTGAACGTAACAAATTCGAATCTATATTTTTATTATACACATTTTTAGTAAATATTTATGAGAGAATATTGGGCTGAAACATTGTTGAAAATCTAAAAAGGGTATTAAATAAAAATATAGGAGAAGTTATTATTATGAGCTAACCCAAAAAAAGTTCAAAAACTACATTTAGTATTGGCTTACACTAAAGTACATTTTTATAGACTACATTACCTATATAGTGTCAAATTACTATTTGATTCTATGTATTTTTTTTTTTTCATATTCTTAATAGTTTCAATGGTATTTCGATTTTAAATAAGTAATATATATATATGCAGATATTTGTCAATTATGAGATTTTTTTTTATTTAAAAAACCGTATTAATTTATACATATATTGTACCAGAAATAGCATGTTTAAAATACTTTTTATTACCATCCGTTAATAATAGTATAATTATTCTGACCAAACATTATTTTAATAGTTTAATAAGTGAATATTTTGAAAGTAAGTTTTAACTACGAAAAAATCAATTAAAATCAGTGTATATATGTATAATATATTAGATGTATAAAAAGTTTAATTATTTAATAACAGTTTAAAATATTGTAAACATGAAAATACTTGAATACCTAGTTTAATTTGTTTTTTTTTTTTAATAATAAAATGATTTAGAAAATGTAAACTTTTATACATAGTTTTTTATAATCATATTTTTAATAGATATTGAAAATACATTAATACTTGTTATCCGTATTATATTTAAACATCAAAACGTATTTTTTTTTTTTTGTATCAAATCTTCTTTAAAAACTTCGAATTTTACTTTGTAATTATAATTTCTAATTCTACTATATTTATTTGAATTTTAATATGATTCTAATAATATGACAATACTTTATTTCAATCATATTTCAATTAAATTATAAAGTAGAATCATTTTTAGAATAATAAATAAATCAATGTTTAATTTTTAATTTTATCGCAATTAAATATTAATGGTCATTTTTGAAATACAACATTATGTTCTAATAAAAACTTAAAGAATAAAATTTAAAACACATCATTCATCTGTTTTTGAAGTTTCGAATATTATATTAAGATTATACCCTAAATATACTTCATATGAAGCCGTTTTAACTGAACTATTCAATAGTTACGTAATAAACAATACATTATACATTATACTTGTCAAGTATTAAATAATGATTCCGTATAAACCACGAACACTACTTGTACTGGTATACCAAAATGTGAAAATAATCATACCGGTTTATCATAACAATGTAATATGAATTATGAATTTTGATTTTCTCTTATAATATATTTGGAACATTTTCATTGCTTTTAAAATATTTTTTTTAAGAAGTATATACATAAGTATACGGTTTTTATTTAGAAATATCAAATATACACTTTACCTAAAAAATAACTATGCATTTTAAAACCGTTACTGTTTATTTTTGTAAAACTTTCGTTTTCTACAACTATGACATTGTTTGATAATTTATTTAATTATTTTAATATCTAACGAGGAAGTGATACTGAAGATTAATAAAAATGATCGAAATTATTTAGAAATACATAATCAATCGCATTTGCATTAAATTCGAAATAGTTAATGGTTTATTAAAGTTTAGTTCAATTCATTAAAGTAAACCAATATTTTTAGTATAAGTTATAAAACATTAGTTGAAACACTAATTAGTTATGTTATTTTTATTATCATTGTTCTTGCTTTAATATCTTAAAATTAAATAAAGTATGTTAAGTTTCAGCGCGTATCTGCATATAATGCAAACTATTTTCTATGTTTTCAATTAAATCCTAACAATAATTGTTGATTTTGATTAATTTTTTTTATCGCCTCTTAATAAATACCAAAAGTGAATTTTAGTTTTAACACATTTTTCATGATTTTTTTTCCCTGAAAAACAGTAAAATATTTGATAAGCAAACGTCAAAAAATATTTATCGATTTAAATTTAATTAAATTTTATCTTTGTAAATTTTAATAGTCTAACCATTTGATTTTAATAAAATTGAAATTTCTATATGAGAAGGATTATAAATTATTACAATATAATTAAAATTTGATCAAAAAGTAATAATTGAAATAGGAAATTAAATGTTGAGAATTAAAAATTGCGCAGAACATAATTAAAAAGTAAACATTTAATGATAAAGTAGAAAAGTATAAAATCATACTTTGAGTAAATAATAAATTACACAAAGTGACAAGTATAATTCCATGTGGAAATAAAATGCGTTTACTGAAAAATTTGAAATAGTAAATAAAACTTTATCCTAGGTAATAAATTTATGATATTAAATATTCTCCATAATAAACTTAAGTGTACTCGTAGCTGTTATTATTTTATATGAAAACGACTGAAAGTATAAATTACGAATATAGTTGGAGATTTTTATATAAATAATCAAATAAATAAAATATATAATATAACACTTCGCTGTTATGTGAAATGCGAAAACATTAATTTCTTCAGGACTCACGCTTAAATCATGTATATTATGATGGATAAAGAAACCACGAGAGATTGTTCTGGTGAGGTATTATGAAATTTTGAAGTTTGATAGTAGATTATTCCCAATTTCATTATCGAATAATAATATAAAAAGGTTTGTTTTCATTCAAATCGTGTATCTATGTAAACACTAATAAATACGATTTGTAATTAATAAAATATGTATTTAATATTCTGCTAATATAAAATAGTATCCAAAATATTATCCAGTAAGTAGTGATTTTAGAAAATGTAATAGTTTTCAGTTAAACATACTAATAAACGTAGAATTTAAATCGATTTTGTGTTAGATTAATTTATGTATGTTTAAAATATATATGATTTAAATTTAGGAAATCAGACATAAGTACGTGTCTTACTTACATACTACTGTCTGAGATAATTATGAACGATAGAAAATTAAATTTTTTTAAAAAAAAAAAAAAAAGTAAAAGTGTCTGTGTCTTAATGTTTTCTCATCTTTTACAATAATAATTGTTATTTTATTGTTTACAATTTCACAAGTACAAT